GATATTTCCATAAAAAAACATAAATTTAACTCCAAGAAAAAGAAAAAAAAACTTGCCTGCTTCTACATAGCTCAACTACTATATTATCAGGCTTAACAGCCCTGACCACTCTCTCCACTTCAGCAGCAGATTGACTAGAAATATGAGTAGTCCCAACCAACCATATTGCTTCTGGCTCAACAAACTCAGTCCTCCAGGAAGGTACAGGACCAAAAAGTTTCTTCTCAATCAACAGCAAGGTGCCATCATTAGCCAAGTCAAGCAATTCAGGGTAGGTTCTTGAAATTGTGGCTCTAGATTCCTGCAAAATCTCTGACCTGAAATCAAAGTCTGGTGGTGGAGGTTTGATTGAAACCTTTAAGGGTTTGGTAGGTTTTGTTGTGAGGATATGTGGGTTATTAGAGAAGATAGGGAATGGGATTTTTAGCAGAGTTTCCATGGATTCAGGAAGTGGCAAAAGCTATGTAGATCCGTGCTTCAGTTCATGTGCTCATGGTTTGGATAAGGTAACTTACTTTAACGGTCACTAAAGGTTGGAGTGTTTTTGGGCAAACCTCATTAAAGGCCTCAAATTTGAAGGGCAGTCTCGTTTACTTCCTAATCTATTTTTCATCTCAATTAAGTTCTCTACGTATCAATGAATTTTCAATCAATTACTTTCTTCATTTTTTATTAACAAAATTAATATGTAGTTACTTCAAATTCATATGATTTTTCCATAAAAAACCAGCAAATTATCTAAGATACATGTTTTAAATAACATAAAATTCACTTGATGGACCAAACTATATAAAGAAATACAAAGCCGTTATGTTTTTTTTTATATAGCTTGTTCTATCATATTTAAATTCATAAGTTCTTAATGAAATAAAGAAAAATCACATGATTTTTATACCATCATTTTTATAAGACTACTTAACTGTCATGTTAAACTAATACAAAGTTTTGATTGAAAATTTATTAATAATATGTAAAAGATATATTCAAGAATAAAAATAAATTTAAAATTTAATTGAAATTACTCATAAATGAGATATTTTTTAAGGTTTTTCATTTTTTTCAAAATAAAAAATAGCATATACAACACATAATAACTATCATAGTTATAAAAATCTATCAGAAGAAAGCTTAAATCATAAGCTAAGCTGGGAGTATCAACTTGAAATGATTCTATTTTTTTTAAAGAATCAAAATAATATTATTTAAAAAAAAGATAAATGAATTAGTGATCTAATTTTAAATAAATTTTATTTTGATCAATTAAGTTATTAGGCAACTCAAGTTTGTTGATATGATCAAACCTTGTTTTTTCTCTATTTTTTTAACCTAAACTGATTGAAGTCTTAAGCCGGTCTAATCTCGAACAATATATATTGAACTAATTCAAGTTTTATAACTAAAATATCTATATTTTCATTTACAAGAATTACAATTAGGTTTTATAGACAAATGTTCATTCTAATCTTTCATGAAAAAAAAGGGGGGGAGCCTAATAGATCCTTTTTTTTCTATTTTATATACACATCATCAAATTATTATATTTCATTACAAATATAAATTTAAATTAATACATGGATATTAATTAAAAAAACTAGTTCCAATCCTAAACCTAGAAAGGACCCAAAACCAGTGTAGTGGGCTTATGGCCCAACTCAAAAAACTTTGCAAACTTTGAGGCCCAAATAGTTGACCAATATAGTTACGAGACTAGAGGAGGCAGGACCTCTCTCTCTACTTTCAACTCTATAAAGTTTTGTTATATGATAAGAGACTTGTTTATATCTCGAGATAAAAAAAAATTAAAAAAATTAAAAACATTCGAGGACATGTATACATGTATTTTTTATTTTAAGATGATAAAAAATCATTTTAAAATTATTTTAAAGATAAATTTAATTTATATATATTTCTATCCCCATTCCTTCAATCAAATATATTTTCTTGCCTTTTGTATTTATTTCACGTATCTTAAAACATTAACCAAACTTAATCTAACTGCTTTGGTTTTTCAGACTAAATGTATTTTAAAAATCATTTCCAAACACATAGCTATAGCTATTGTATTAATATGAATCCTAAATAATTTCTAAGTATGAGTTTGCTAAAACATTAAAAGGAAAATTCTGAGTGAAGATCTAAACTAGAGGTTCCTATAAAGAAAGTACGTTGAGATTTAAAGTATAATATCAAGCAGATTTGAGTCAAAACCATGGATTTAGATTTAAAGTGTAATTTGTTGAGATCCTTTGGTGCTCAAACTCAAATTTGTTTCTCAAACCATCCAATTTTTTAATTAAGATGCATGCATTTGTCAACTTAATACTACAAGTTTTATTGTTAATTTTTTAATTTTTAATTTCTTGGGGGCCCAATCAATCGAATCTGATTAAGAATCCTAATTTGACCAATTAATACATCCTTTTAAATGGGCTTAATGTGAATGCCGCCGTAACCATTGACTCTTTTCCGTTGTTGCATTCAAAGCCGTCTTCAAAAACTTCACGAATAGAGGAAAAAATCTAGCAGACCGGCGCAGCAAAAAGAACATTGCATCATCGAACATTGTAAGAGAAATAACTTTTGATGATAAAGTTTTGAGGAAAAAAGCTATAAAATTTGACTTAATGTCAAGAATTCTCCATTGATCAAGGATGAACAAGCTTAAGAAAGTCATGGTCGGCAAGATCACACCCTTTTTGGGTTAGTCATCTACTCTTAGTTCCATCTCATGAATTTTACCCCTCTACTCTCTACTATGTGCTTATGTGATCCTCATGCTAAGTGCTCTCAGAAACCTATGTGCTAGATCTTACCTTATATTCTTTCAAATCAAGATTCCCAATGTTCTTTTGTCTTAATTTCCAGATATCGTATTTTTTTTTT